CTTATATGAGAGCATACAGTACATCTGAAACTGCTGAGGCTGGGAAGGTTTTTGACTATATTACCGACCAGGTACATTGTTCTCAGAAAGAATTCATCATTCTTAAAAAGAAAAGAAAACAAATCCTCAATCATCATTTGATTTTTTTGTGTGTGTGAAATATTAACATTTGTTGTTTTTCAGATCAGCTGCTATAGAAGACAAACTGAAATCTGAGTGCAGAGACAAGCAAAGGAATAGTAAGTATATTTTCATGTTGTATCACCCCTGTTATCGAGATTTTTGAATCAGGCCTAATGGAGGGTGATTTGGTCAATCTTGGAAGAAAAACGTTAGCAATGTGTCCATTTCAGCTGTGTATTTATGCTTGCTTTCAGTCATTCATGTAAAAATCTGTTTTATAATTTTGTTTCTGTTTTGTTTTTTTCTAAAGCTGCAAGGCTCTGGTGCAAAATATTGTATGCCAGGAGTCAGGACGACTAGGCTGTGCCCAGGTCTCCGGAACCTGCGATGACGCTCAGCTCCATCAGCCGTCCATCTGCGCCTTCGGATCCACCAGCTCTGTCTCCATCGGTCGGCCCTCAGATGTTGTCAGCCACACCATCTACATCTTGGCTCCTCGCTCCCTCGATTCCGCCATGTGTTGTCAGCACTGGGATGCTCTGGGTCTGTGCCATGTGCCAAACACCATCTAAGCTGCCAGGGCATCATCGTCATCCTCCCATCACCATCCCTTCGCCACATCCTGCCAGCATCCCCGCACTTTTGCCTCTCACCATCCCTACGCCATCTCCTTGTTCACCTCCAAAACCCCCTCCATCCCTCCCTATTCTGTTGCTTGAAGTTTATCATCTTCAGTCTTTGAAAAACAAAGTGCATAAGTGAATAGATTGTGTGTGTGCAGTCTTTTTTTATGTATTTTTTTTCTTCAGAAAATTGCATTGTAATTTTTATTTATTCACTGATGGTAAATTCTGTACTTTTTTAGTAAGGCCGGTATAACTGAAATGTTCTACAAATGGAAAAGATAGCTCTGCCATAGCTTTTCAGT